TACGGTTCTGCGCAGATGCCAGATACGGCCATTTTTATATGTTAGCAGTTAGATCAGAACATTAGAGGTTATAGTATCAAGTGACTTTGTGACATCTCTCTTTTTATCTTTTTGAGACTTGTCCTTTGCGTACCATAATATAATGAGTACATGTTCTATAAAAACGTGTAAAAATGATTCTCGGAAATCGAAAAATATTCAATTTTTTCGGTTTCCGAAAAACAAAGAGTTATTATTGAAATGGGAAGCAGTTTGTGGCAAAGAAAATATAAATGTGAGAAATGGTATGTATGAATTTAAATACGTCCTTGCTTAATTGTGAGAATAGAATTAACAATCATGCACTTGCTCATGTAATGAAAATAACATACATATTCTATACGTGTAGGACGTATCTGTTCTGCTCACTTTGATGCAGCAGCATATAAAGAATCTTCGTGGATGCGACCACTTTTAGGTTATTCAACGCCAAAAAAACGAACATTAAAACCTGATGCAGTTCCCACGCAGAATTTAGGCTCACCAATTAGCCAAGATATACAAGTAGGATCTTCTTCAGCAGTCAAGAGTGTGTATTATTATTATATATGGTTTTCTGGCTTCAAATACAAATTTCCAATTAAGCTTACATAATATATTAATAAGTTGTTCCTCCTTTCAGGACTTGATGAATCTGAGACAATGCCCGGTGCAATGCCTGCTGCAATACTGTCTGAAGACCAGACAGAGATTTCGACTTCAGGACATTTATTAAATTATGGTAAGAGTTAATTTAAAAATATGATCGCATATATTGGTGTTTTATTTACATTTTTATAACATATTTGACATTATCGAGCAATGTAAATGTAAGATATTTTACAATTATTTTACAACATTCATTTTTCACATATTATAATTTAGTTTTGATACGTTTATTTATATTGAATACGTTTGTTACATTGCAGATGAAGCTGATACGTCTAAGAAATCAAAGTTACATCATGAAATAAAAGAGTTAAGAATGAAAAATGCAAAGTCAGAGTTAATGATCCGTACTTTACAGTGCAAACTTGCTGA